TTGGCAAAAGGCGTCTGAAGTGACCAGGTCACAGCTGTAGCTTTAAGTTTAATGGGACTCTTACAGTGATCCCTGATGTGTGCCTTCCAACTCTAGAAACTAGAACTTCCAGTGACATGGAGCCTGAAGGTGCAGGGACAGAAAGCACAAACACCCAAGCATATAACTAGAAGGGGTGGTCACAGGTGCAGTACCATTTCCACACATTGGTTCTGAGACACATACATTGTACCTACTGGGGACTCAGAACCATGTAATGGACATTGATTTAGGGCTTGGGTTGGCAAACTACAGCCTGTGGGCTACACCCAGCCCACTGTTTTTGTACATCCTGCAAAGAATGGTTTTTACATTTTTCAGTGGTTGAAAAAACTCAAAATAATAATATTTCATGACTCATGAAAATTATATAAAATTCAAATTTCAGTGTTCATAAATAAAATTTTATTGGAACACAGCCATGTTTATTTGTTATGTTGGCTATAGCCACATGTACACTACAATGACAGATTTGAATAGTTGTGACAGACTATATGTGGCACTCATCACTTCCCACTGCTGCTCAGCACACAATAAATTGCAGTGGTACAGTTTTAACTGAATAGTGTTTTGGGTACCACACATATTGCTGTGCTGTGACTTATTTTTTATTACCAGTACATATCCATCATGTCAAAACAATGGAAAAAGGAGAAAAGTGGGCTTTAAGTATTGCACTTTTAAGAAAATGGCAAAGCATTGTGCTCATTATGCAATGATGCTATATAGCTGTGCTAAAAGAATACAATATTGGGACTTCCTTGGTGGCGCAGTGGTTAAGAATCTGCCTGCCGATGCAGGGGACATTTAAATTTAAAAAGATTTAAATGGAGTATCTCATCACAGCAGAATTTCTCCACAAAAATAAAAAAAGTGAAAATGAGGCTGCAAGCAAAGTACGTTTCCAACTTGCTCATATGTTAGCCAAGCAAGAAAAGATGTTTACTAATGATTAATTAATTAAATCAAGTTTAATTGCAGCTGCTGAAAAAAATGTGTCCAGAGAAAATAAATTTAACTGTTAGCCTTTCAATGAAAATAGCTGCTCCAAGAGTTGAAGACATTGGGAACAAAATCAAAAGTCAATTAAAGACAGGGCAAATGACTTCAAGTGGATTTCCTTGGCTCTTAATGAGTTGACAGATGTTACCAATACAGTTCAGCTGTTGTTCATTGAAGGGGTAAATGCCAAATTTGAAGACTGAAGAATTGAGTTCTATTAATAGTCTGCATGAAACAAATACAGTTGAGAGTATTTTTTAAAGTTGAGAAAACATTAATTCAGTACAACCTGATGTGGAATCTGCTAAGATGTGATAAAAATGATAGTGGTGAAAATATGTGTGGAGCAGGGGGGAAAAAGGCTTAGTTGAACAAATTTACAAAGTTTATGAAAATATAAAGTGCTTAAAGCCTGTGTTTATTCATTGTATTATTCATCACTAGGTACTCTGTGGAAAATATTTGAATCTATCATGTTACTGAACCAGTAATGTCAATGATAAATTTCACTTGCCACTTATTGACAACCATCATTGGTTCCATGAATTTTGATCAGAAATAGAAGCTGGGGCTTCCCTGGTGGCGCAATGGTTGAGAGTCTGCCTGCCAATGCAGGGGACACGGGTTCGTGCCCCGGTCTGGGAAGATCCCACATGCCGCGGAGCGGCTAGGCCCGTGAGCCATGGCCGCTGAGCCTGCGCGTCCGGAGCCTGTGCTCCGCAACGGGAGAGGCCACAACAGTGAGAGGCCCGCGTACCGCAAAAAAAAAAAAAAAAAACCCTGAATGGCGGGGACTTCCCTGGTGGCACAGTGGTTAGGAATCCTCCTGCCAATGCAGGGGAAACGGGTTCGAGCCCTGGTCTGGGAAGGTCCCACATGCCGTGGAGCAGCTCAGCCCGTGCGCCACAACTACTGAGCCCGCATGCCACAACCGCTGAAGCCTGTGCGCCTAGAGCCCGTGCTCCACAACAAGAGAAGCCACCGCAGTGAGAAGCCGGTGCACCACAACAAAGAGTAGCCCCCTGCTCGCCGCAACTAGAGAAAGCCCACGTGCAGCAACGAAGACCTAATGCAGCCAAAAATAAATAAAATTTTTTTAAAAATACCTGAATGGCATTGGAAATAAGCTTTTGCTGCAGTCTTCATGTTTTTTAATGAATTAAACCTGAAATTAATGAGCAAAGCAATGTTTTATGTGAAACTTATACTGAAGTAAAGTCATTTTGGCAAATAATTTTATTTTTTAAGATTTTTTTATTAAAAATTTTTTTAATTTATTTATTTTTGGCTGCATTGGGTCTTCATTGCTGTTCTCGGGCTTTCTCTAGTTGCGGCGAGCAGGGGGCTACTCTTTGTTGCGGTGCACGGGCTTCTCATTGCGGTGGCTTCTCTTGTTGTGGAGCACGGGCTCTGGGCGTGCAGGCTTCAGCAGTTGTGGCACGCGGGCTCAGCAGTTGTGGCGCACGGGCTGAGCTGCTCCACGGCATGTGGGATCTTCCCAGACCAGGGCTTGAACCCGTTTCCCCTGCATTGGCAGGCGGATTCCTAACTACTGCACCACCAAGGAAGCCCCTTGACAAATAATTTTAAATAAGTAATGTCAAGCTGCTTTATGCACTTCCTGAGCTGTCAAAAGTTATAACAAGAAGCAGGATAACCATTCTCATGCAGATTTTCAGTGGATATATTCTCTGAGTTCAAACTAGAGTTCCAGCAGCAAGCACTTTTCAGACTTCCATGTAAGTACAAGAGGAGTTTCCATATTTCTAAACTTTTTTATCTAAGCAATTGAGGAACAACCACCTGAACTTCAATTGGAAGTAATTGATCTGCAATGTAATGACATGCTTAAAGGCAAATATCAAGAAAAGAATCTCATAGAAGTCTACAAATATCTTCAAAGTGATGACTAGTCTCGACTATAATCCTATGCTCAGGAATTTATATCACCCTTTGGCGGTGCCAGATATTTCACTTCATACCTATGTGAATGAAAAGACATTTTCAGAGATGACACATGTAAATTTTCATTACAGACAAGCATTAACAGATAAACATTTGCAATTGATTTTGATGGTAGGGAACACTAACTTTTGGTCTTCTTAATTGGGCTAAACATTATTTCCCTCCCACCCTGGCTGCCAGTTTTTAAGGTTTGTGGGTGCGACCCCTCTTTCCTTGTTTTGTTGCTGAGGCTGAATTTTTATGCTACTTGACATTCACACTGAAAGATGAGGATCATTAGCCCCACTTCACAGCTCAGGAAACTGAGGCTCAGAGAGGGAAAATGACATGTCTGCAGCCACACAGCAGTGAGTGGGGAAGCCAGGGTTGGTGTGACCTAGCTTGGTGTGGCTCCTAAGTCCTTGCTCTTTACTCTGAGACACTGAACACAGTAGAGAGAAGCAAGGAGAGAGGAGACAGAAGTCCTTCAGAGCAAGAGTGAGAAACTAGGACCTGGGTGAGACAGGGCAGGACACAGAAGGACAAAGCAAGAAAGACAGAGCTCAAGCCCCAGTGCAAGACAGAGAGCTGGAGCATGAGATTTCCGGGCAATGTGAGCTGAAGGACCAACTTGCCAGGGCAGAGGAGATGGAGCTGGGCTGGACATAGGGCTTCTGAGTTTGCAGGTTTGATGGCAAATAACCCAAGACCTTAGACCCCTCTCTCTGCAGGAAACCACGGAACAGCAGTGTCCAGGTGTGCAGAAGGCCAGCCTAACCTTGACCTCTTAACTGGCCCTTTATCATCACTTAGGCGCCAGTCTCACCCCAGGTGGCAGCTTTTCACAAGAAGGGACTGTCAGAGGTCTCAGCTCCACCTGAATCAATTCTTGCAGAGACTGGGGAGAGGGAGAGGCAGACACAACTGATGGCTTCTCAGCTCTAGGTCTGTGATAGCCTAGGGGATGACACTCACCAGAAGGTTTGGCTAGAAGTGGGTTGCCTTCTTTCCCCACCTCCACACCTGTGGAACTTCCCACACCAACCAGGTCTGGAGGGGAATGAGTCCTAGCCTGCATTCGGGATCAGAGAGTGAGGGACAGAGTTTGAGGTAGGAGTGAGGACAGGGGCTCTGCAGTCTAACTATTTTCAGTTTGGAGCTCAGACTCTGACTTGGAGGTCAAGTATGAAGATACAGCAGGGAGCTGTTGGAGGTCACTGAAAGGATGTGACCGCCAGCTGTACTCACAAGCTAGACCCAGGCAATTAGATGCCCCTCACCTCCTCCCCTGTCCTTGGAATGTATGTTCTGCCTGCCATTCCCACAGTGGAAGGCATTTTCAGGGATTCAGCCTTGAGAGAGTAATGTGTTCTCGAGAACATCTGGGTGGTATATGTGGCTGAACCTCATTAAGGCCTCTATATAAACTTGCAAGAGTCTGGCAAGCAAGTACGGAGGCCTACTTGTCTGTGGCCGCCCAAGACAAGTCTTGTAAATAAGTTCCCTTGCTTACTAAACCTGCCACCTACTAATCTGGTGTAGTCTGCCTCTTTCTTCGGTCTTTTCTTGCCCTCCATGTACAGGGGCCAGTTTACGAACCAACAGGAGCCAGGATCAAGAGCTTGGGGTGGGTGTGCTCCTCTCAGCCATGGGGGTGGGAGATCACGCCCAGAGCAACTAGACCTGGTGAGTGAATTCCTGGCAAAAGTGCTGCTGTGCGCAACAACCCCACCCCTGCCCCAGGCTTCCATTATACACAGCCTTAGGGAGAGGCACCATTTCCATAGACTGAACATGAGTGATGCTCCCTGAGTTGGCAACATGGCAGATCTGTACCCCCAACTTTCCTACCTATGTCAGACATTGCTAATCAATCACAGTCTCTGCTCAGTCTGGACCGTGGCTCAAAATCCTCCTCAGACAACCCCTGCCAATTCCTCAGAGCTAGCATATGAGATGCTAACTATTTGCCCTCATTGGCCCTGACCTCCTGGAGCTTATCAAGCAGAGAGAAGGACCACTTCACTGCTTTATTGGAAGGGGAATACACTCCGTCACAGTGCAAGGCCCTGAGCCCAGCAAGATCTCGAGTTCGAGATGCAGCTGGTTGGCCGTGACTCTGTAGTGGCCGTTGATGAAATCCTGGGAAGCGCAGGAGTGGCATCTCCAGTAGGCCTGGATGATGTGGGCAGCGTTGAGCAAATGGCAGTAGCGCCAACAGATGCGCCACATGCGGACCCAGGACTGCAGCCTGACTGCCACTCCTTCCGTGTAAAGTTCTCCAGAGCTGTCCGCTGCCTGTTCTCATGCAACTTCACCAGCTTATGCCTCCACCAGCCCTGAATGATCCACACTCTGAGAGCCACGTGCAGCAGTGTGCTGCACACCAGGGTGCCCCGCCACCAGGCCTGGACCTTTACTACTTCTGGATTACTGACGGGAAGCCTGTTTTGGGTTCTTGGGATCTAACAAGAAAAAAGACGAGACATTTGGAGGATATTCCCCACCCACTTCAGCCCCAGGGTGTGCCAGGAAGGGATCCTGATGCCCTATCAACAATCACCCCTTCTTCTGAACCTCAAGAGCACTGGGCAAGGCACTGGCTGGAACCAGAAGACCAGGTAGGTGTCCTTTCTCTGCCCCGCTCTGGTTAATGGACATGGATACATCACATTGACCTCTGAATCTCAGAGCTCCCATCTGTAAAATGGTAGTATATCTGTCCTGGCTTCCCAGGTTTACATGGGTCAAGTTGGCCAGCCTAGAGCAAGAATACCATAATCAAAGGGTTATCATAGTCCACCTGAGCCTGTCCACCTGACCAGGATCCATGATCCTTCCCTTCAGACCCCACTCACCTACTGGAGAAGTGGCTTCCTCTTCTAATCCTGCTCTTTCATCCTTGACTGCAGCTCCAATCCACAGCCTGCTCTCTTCCTCTGTGATAACATAGTATTAAAAGTTCCCACATCCCATAAAGTTCTACCTCTCTTATCTCTTCCCCATCTTCACTTCTCTTGACTTTCAAACTTTAAATCTTAATTAGCAAGCAAACATACATGCACACGCTCACACACACACACACACACACACACACACACACACACACACACCATTGATTAAGCCCAGCTTCCCATATGTTGGCCATTCCATTCCACAGACACAACTGCCACATTCCCACCCCCAGCCCCGTGTCATCTGGGTGGGGGGATCATACTGCTCTGAGTCTCTTATTAGCATCATCTACTCCCTTTGTTGCAGCTATATTCTCTTGTTTAGCCTAGAAAAAAATGGGGAAAGAGGACAGACAAGAATGAGTTTATTCCTGTTCTTAGCTCTAGAACGTACAAAAGACACTAGCCACAAGCATTAGAACACAAAGACCAGAGACATTCAAGTCCAGGCTCCTCCTGCCTCTGCCTTCTCTAAGTTCGGTGATGGTGCTGGCAGTAAAGATTTCAAGATCAGCTCCTCATTCTGCTGAGGCTCATTTTTGGTGTGTTCATTAATTGTTTGGGGCTGGTCCTTCTCCTGCAATCAGCAGTTAGGGGAAAGGCAAGCGGGAGGCTGCTCTCCCTCCCTCTCCATTAAGTAACCCACACATCCCCAGCATACAGGGCTTCCCAGAGTATTCAGATGTCAGGGAGATCCCCTCATCCCGAGAGATTTATGGGGACATCCCTAAAAAAGCCTCGTGTGTCAGTCTCTCTCTTACTCACCATTGGTCCCACATAGATTGGGTGTAGATGGTTCAAATCCTCTCAGGTCTGTGTTCCTCTAGTCATGGCATGGAGAGAAACAGTGGGGGAGGGAGACCTATGATGTCATAAGGGCAGTTATGACTCAAGCACCAGGCTGGCTCCCAACAGTTAAGCCCCCTCCAAAGAAAAGACAGAAGTGCTGTCCATTCTTTTCTGCTGGAAATGGCCAAAGCCCTAGCTACAAAAGCAAGACACCAGAAATAGTGGCCCACTGATGTAAAGGTGTATAAAGATAGTCATTGGTGATATCCCCAACTGGTAAAATCGGGCGTTGATTTAATGGTTTATAGTCCATTCAAACTATAGAATACAACATAACTTGAAAAATAATGAATTTGATCTATGTGTACTGATGAGAAGGTATACCCAAGATGTATTTGTAAGTGAAAAAGCTGAACACCATTATGATCCCATTGGATGGGATATAAAACCATCATTGGATGGGATGGTAAAAAACCATCAAGATATATAATTATACACGTATGCTATAAACGCAGATAAAGAGGGAGAAAGGTATATAGACCAAACTGCTACCAACGATTACCTTAGAAGAGTTGAATTGCTGACCCATTCATACAATACCAGGGAAATCTGTGAGGCCCCCAGGACGAGCAGTACTGCTTTCCTTCCCCAGCAGGCTCTGGGGCTGGGAGCATATTCAGAGGGCTGATCCCATTGACACCCTCACTGACCCCTCCTTCCTTCTCTCCTTCCCACTCTTCCCTGAAGGGGTCTACTGAGAGCCTCTGGGGTGAAACTCTGATAGAGGGGGAGAAGAATGGTGGAGAAGAACGGGGTTGGAGAAGGAGGCTCACCCCCGTCATGCTCACCCCAGGCCACTTGCCCAGCACACCCTCAAAACCTTCGCTTGGATGGTGTCACCCCTCTGCTCCTCAGCCCCTGGGGCAGCTCCTCCCTGCCCACTGGATTGAGTCTGAGCAGGTCCTGGTGGCATTCAAAGCCCCAGCACCCTCCCTGCCCCTAGGGTCACCACATTCACCAACACCCCAGTCTCTGGCCCCTTTCCTGTCTGAGTCTGCCTCCATCCTGGGACCCAGTCCCCTCGTTTACCCAGGCTCCATATGTGGGATCTTTCCTGTGCCCTTAGAGCGCAGGGACTTTAATTTCTCCCTTCAGTCCTCAAATGCTCATGGATCCAATTATGAGGAGCATGTGTTTAGTGGCCATTCATATATCTTTTATGAAGTATTGGTTTAAGCCTTTTGTCCACTTTTATTGGATTGTTTATTACTGAGTTCTAGAAGTTCTTATACTCGATATTATTGAGTCCTTTGTCAGACACATGTATTGTAAATATTCTTTTCCCTGGCCTGTGACTTTTTAAAATGCTGTCTTTTGATGAACAGATGGTTTTAATTTGGATGAAGTCCAGTCTATCAATATTTTATACTTAGCACTTTCTCTGTCCTAGGAAATCTTTGTCGACTCCAGGGTCACAAAATAATTCTCATGGGTTTTCTTCTAGAAGCTTTATATAGGTTTAGCTTTAGTTTTTGTTTAGGTCTGTGATCCATCTTGAATTAATTTTTTTTTTTTGGCTATGATGTTAGATAGGGGGTCAAGATTTTTTTTTCCCATTGAAAAATGTATTTCCTTTCTACATTGAATTATCTTGGTACATTAAAAAAATCAATAGACTGTGTAAATGTGAGTCTATTTCTGGCTTCTCTGTTCTGTATCATTGATCTGTTTGTCTCTTCTTACTCTAACACCACCTGTCCTGATTACTGTAACTTTATAGTTTTTCAAGACAGTAAGTCTTGAAATCAGATAATGTAAATCCTTCAACTTTGCACTTCTATATCAAGAATTCCCCAACTGCTCATACAGTTGATTTTTGTATATTGCCCCTGAATCTTTCAGTTTCGGGGGTGCTTTTTTTTTTTTTTTTTTTTTTTTTGCGGTACGCGGGCCTCTCACTGTTGTGGCCTCTCCCGTTGCGGAGCACAGGCTCTGGACGCGCAGGCTTAGCAGCCATGGGTCATGAGCCCAGCCGCTCCGCGGCATGTGGGATCTTCCCAGACCGGGGCACGAACCCGTGTCCCCTGCATCGGCAGGCAGACTCTCAACCACTGAGCCACCAGGGAAGCCCTCGGGGGTGCTTTTGATTTTTATTTATAAACAGCTTTGTTGGAATATAATTCACATGCCATACAATTCACCCCCTTAAAGTGCACAGTTCAGTGTTTTTTAGTATATTCACAGATATTTGCACACAATACCATAGGTATCTTGCCTGCTTGCTAAGTTTTCTTATTCCAGCAGTTTTCTGGGTAGATTGGGGGTGCCTGTATGCCAGTTGCGGGATCTGGAGGTGAGGTATCCTCAGTGGCTTGTGGTGGGCTTCCTGATGGGGTCCGCAAAGTGGTTAGTAGGATCCGCATCCCTTTGATGTTTTGAACCCTACCTGCTCTTCTCTCAGTTCCTCCCCACCCCTCAGTCATGCTGCTCACCTCAGTGTTTTGAAAGGAATAAGAAATGCACACCTCAGTGACCCCTGGGGCTGTGACTCTGAGAGGGTACCAAGGCCTCATGATGACCAGGGGGTCTTCAGAGGACAGGAACAGGCAGAGATGGGGAGGGCCCCACCTAGTGTCTTTTGCATGATTCAGAGCTACGAACAGAGCTAAGAGCTTCTACAGTGGCTGCCCCTCACCCATCTAATTGTGGCCTTGAGTCCATCAGGGGAGAAGACAGGAGAGCACTTGAGCCCACTGGAGTGGGAGGTGGGAGGTGTAATTCTGCACCTCAGAATCACATGGCTTCATATGTTATAAAACATATAGCAGTGAGCTCATTGCCTACTCAATTTCCCT